AAAGAAAGAAAGAAAGAAAGAAAGAAAGAAAGAAAGAAAGAAAGAAAATACATCTGAAAACTCAGGCTATTGCTAGATTTTAAAAGAGCAAATATGAGGATTAAGCACCAAGAATAGCTTTCTGATGTCCAGATTAAAGGTTACAAGCAAAACAAAAGCACCTGGGGTTAGCATAGAGGAATCCACAAGCCATAAAGAAAAAAAATAGATAAACCTAATTGAATCTTCCTAGACATTTCCTGATCTACTTACATATCTGGGGTTTCAAATGAGTAGTTTCTAGGTATGATACTGACGGTTTTTCATACCTGGCTCAAGCTTTTTACAACATAACTGCTGCCCTGTCCTCCTCTCACTGGGAGAACAATCACAGACAAAGGGGACGATTTTTCTCAATTTTAAAAGGTTCTAGCCTTCCCATTGGCTCTTTTGGTCAGGTGCCCGCTCACTTCCTTTTACCTATGCATAGTAGTAAGACTTTTAACCCAGGTAAAGCAAGTAGAGAACAGCTACTAAGAGGGATTTTATAGCTAACTGGCTGGCTGGGTGTCCATAAAAGGGAGCTATCTCCCCCCACCCTTCATTTATCACACATTTCATATTAAATGGGATGACTATGGAAATGAGGGACCACTAGCTAGACAGAATCAAACCCCATGATTTCTGAAATCGTGGCATTACATTTCCTTTTGAAAAGCAGTGGTTAGGGCAGCTTGAATAATGAAAAATGATGAAAACACCTGCATAAAATAGGCAATGGAAAGCTGGAGCTTGTGGTCTTGTCCCCCACCCCCATCTCCCTCCAAGACGGAAGTTACTTAGGAAGACTACTCTGTGAAGACTTGCTCTCAAAGTACCCACCTTCGTCCACATACACACCACTGAAACTTCTTACTCAACCCGCGTTTACTACACAGCCTGCAAAAAAGACAGGCTTAATAACCTCTGCAGTGTTTACTGTACTCCTACAGTCTGACAGTCATTAAAGTTCAAGGCAGCAGCAGCCAGCATGACAAGAGGCAATTTGGCAGCTGAGTAAGATCTCTATCCAAGTTTTATAAGGCCCTCATGACCATAGTGTCTGAGCACCTTCTCAAATACTCCAAAACAGCTTGTGAATTTTAGAACTGATTAATAATTGAAGCTATTCTGTTATTGATTCATTATATTCTATTTAAACTCTTTGTGGCAATCCCTTCATTCATTATTTTTAACACACTGGCACCAATTCGTCCCTGGTGTAATTCAGATTAAGTCAGTGGAGTTGCATTAGGGTTGTATCTGGCCCAGTGTATCCAATACTGATAGATGCTTTTAGATAGGCTTCACTATGGGTGGACTTTATGCATAGTCTTTACCTAACCTAAGACACATAAGTTGCTTGCCTACTGAAGGACATCATTAATAGATGGTTGAATAAAATTATACTGGGAACCTTGAGGATGATTTAAAATAGACAAACTGTATCGCCTGTTGAACATACTGCTTCATGCAGGTTTTGAAGTATTTGCAACTAACAGAAGAGTAACTTGTCATAGGTGCTGCAATTACCTAATATAATAAAGTTATTGCTCAAGGCAAAGGGCAAAATAATCCTCTTGGCGCATCACTGAAAGGGGAACATCACACAACCAACAGGCAGAGGATAGTGATAACACAGCATGAAGAAGATCCATCACACAGATCTGAAGGAAAAAGTATGTCTATACATATTTCCTGTATTATTTATATACCATCGTATGGGTATAAGATGGTAAGGCCCCTGCCCTGAGGAGCCCACTATCTAAATTATACATAATACACACAAATAAGTTTTAGACACAATGAGGGAAAATAAAGGCCCAGGAAGAGATGCAACATAAAAGATTAGATGACTAGAAGGGTTAGTTTTCAGTTTTAATTTTTTCAGTGTTAAAATATATATAATTTTAAAAGGATATATCTAAATTGAAATTACTTACTTTAGTCATGTCAAGCACATGCTGAATGAATGTGAGAGTTAAGGAAACATTACTAACGTAATAAATAAATATATCTTCCACGTTATAGTTTGAGGTAGAAGTGCTGCAGTAGGAGAACCATAAAGTATAGCTGAATGGATTAGACATTTACAAAGCAAATCAGAACATTCTTATATCCTCAACTGTAATTATCAACAGCCTATGTTAATTAACCTACTTGGATGTTTATAAGTTAGAGTAGTAACTGAGAGGGAATGTCAATCATATAGACTTTATATAGTATAGATAGTGCCCTATATAATTGATATTCCCTGTCAGTTACTATTCTAACTTAAAAATATCCAACTTGGTTAATAGTATAGATTTGTTTTCCATTAGGGATATAAGCAGGGGGAGACAGAATATGATTAGCAGTCGAAGGCGAGGCAATGAAAAATAGTAAGATTCTTGAGGAGCAGGGGTGGAGGGGACTTGAAGAAGGAGAGTGTGGATGCTTGGCTGCTATATACAGGAATATAGGAATTGCCATTCTGGTCAGTGGTCCAGCCTGTCCACTGTCCTGTCTCGGACAGTGGCCTGTACCAGATGCTTCAGAGGAATGGACCCTGTAATTTATGAAGTGACCTGCTTATAGAGGAAATTTCCCTCTAACTTCAGGTAGTTAGTAGTTGGCTTATACAATGAAGCCTAAATGCTTATATCCCTTTAAACATGTTCTCATTAATCTTATGGTGATCTAATCATTTTGTGAATCCTACTAAGCTTCTGCCCTCAAAACTGTTTTGTTGCAGAGAGCTACACAGGTTAATTGTGGATTGCAGTACTCAGGGCAGGTGTATATATTATATTTTAAGATAGAGAATAAATGAGCATAGGGTAAAGTTTTACATGAGTCACCTCTCAGAAGATGTCCCCACACCCACACCAGGTCAATCAGCACCCAAAGTACACCCACCCACTAAAGAACACTTCATCCTCCCATCTCGCTCCCACTCTCTCCCCCCTGGTAGTTCCAGGGAGGTTAATGCAGCCCCAGGGTTCTGTGTGTCCTTTGCAAGAAAAAGAGGGGCCAAGATACACAGAAGCCCAGTGAGGGCCTCATTCCCAACTATACCAAAAAGTCATGTTTGGCACTTTGGCCCAGATCCACAAAGGGACTTAAGTCCCAGTTTTAGGCACCACTGTGATCCACAAAAACCCCACTCAGTTGCTGCCTAACCCTGTAGATTCCTACATTTTTGCTGCAAAAGTTTCCGAAGCTTTGGCCTCTGGGCCTGGGCACTGTTGCCCCACTCCAGAGATCTGGATGCCAAAGCCCCAGTGCAATCCTCAAACTGGAGGGAGATAGGTGGAGGAGTGCCACTCAGTGCATGCTTACTAGATCAGGATCCATTCAAAATTGTCCTCCTGCTCCAAGTGAGTGTATACCTTTTAGCATAGTGGTTAGTGCACTCATATGGGATGTGGGAGACCCAGGTTCAATTCTCCTCTCTGTCTGACAGGGAGAAATTATTTGAATAGGGGTCTCCCACGTCTCAGGAGAGTGCCCTAACCACTGAGCTATGCTGAAGGAGGAGGATGGGTGTCTCTCTCAGTCTCTCCTGTTGACACTGTTTCACTTTGAACAACTGCTTCCAACAGTCACTGAACCAGAGAGAGAGAATGACTCTATAGCCTCGGAGCTCCAGATTCCAGTCCCCCTGCTCCAAAGACTCTTGCATGGCAAACTGCACTGTGGAGTTAACATTCTTTGCCCCAAAGAGAGAGAGCACCTTACAGCCATCTCAGCTAATCTCCCTCAAAACAATACTCCTGCTAGCACTGACAGCTTCCACAGGGAGCCAGTTACAGTTCTCCTCAAAAGGGGTGATTTATCACAACTTGGATCCTATGAGGATGGCAAAGAAAATCAGGGATTGATTTACCATAAAGTATAATCTGTAGTATCCAATAGCATACATGTCTGTTCCAGTTATATGTTTTTGCTAGCTAACACAGCCCTCTCAAAATGAAGAGGATTTGATAGCTATTGTGTGCTCATAAATATTAATAAGAATCCATATTTAACCCAATCACATAAGAATGAATAGAATGCTGTACTCTTGTACCCTACAGAAGACAGGGCAGATGCATTAAGTATCATATTCCGGTCATTTTAAATGGGGATTAACTCATTAATACTTTAACATCTCTCCAGAGAAAAAACAAAATCCAAGTAAATATGTATCTTTAAAAATGCATTTAAATGTTACAGTTCTGAGTAAAAGTACATGACAATAAAGTATTTCACACTTAAACTAAAATATTACCTTAATTTTATTTTAGTGAATTTCAACATTACTAGAAAATAGATTTACTGTTAATTTTCCTGGGTTTGGAGTAAATATTTTTTTGCCAAAACTATAGCATTAATGTAGCATTTTTAACAGAAAATGGTGTTTCTGTTGAGCACTATTGGATACATACATTTAGCAGAATTTGTAGGTTCATAAAACTGTAGGATTGGTTACATCAAGGATAAAGGGATAAATTTAGCCCTCTGTTTTCCAGGCTACTTATAGTTTACATAGTGACACAAATAACTGCAGAGCAAGGTTACCATAGTAACATAGTAGATCAGTCAAATACTATTCCTACAGCTCTCCACCAATGGAACAACTGGAATATAAAGCTTGATATGTTAATGAGACCCACTAGGGGAGGATGGATATGAACTGAATGAAAATGGGGATTAAGGAAGACTTTAAGAAGCCTTTATAGTGGGGAATGGCTGTGACATCCCTAGTTAATGAACTGGTATATTTTATTCTGTAAAATCTTTGCACATCAGTGCTGTGACCCATTCAGCTTTGTGAAAAACTGGTGTTTCTGGATTGGTTGTTTTAACATTATGGATTCAGTAATAAATTGTGGGGTTTTTTGAGATTTAAGATTTGTGGATGGGAATGTTTTACTTAAGCACTGCTTTCTTCCTAGAGAATTACACTGCCAGACATCTTCAGGATGTTTTCCTTGATTTTGAACTGTTCTAATGTACTGTGGAATTTATTGGAGAATACAAGGTAACATATGCTATGGCTCTAGATCTCCAAAAATTATACTTTGTTAATCAAATCAATTAAACTGAGCTAATTTAAACTGACTTAAAATCTGTAGCCTTTCCTATTCAAATTTTTTGAGATTTGAAAGTGCTTGTAGTAAAAAAAATCCCTGCAGATCTGATATGAACTTTTGCATATGAAGAATAATGTGAGCAGAGTACTGGTCAATTTTTCTTAATTTTTAAGATTATACAGTATTTCTCTCACCAAAATAATAATTGCAACACCTTTAGCAGACTAAGGCCTTGATACTGCAAACACTTATGCCCTTGAATAACTTTCCCATGAGTCAATATGGCTACTTGTGGAAGTTAAGCATGTACAAAAGTGTTAGTAGGATCAAGAACTAGCTAGACATTTTATTGTGCATCAATGAATAGATGTAATATGAATGTCATAAAGCTCTGAGACCAATGACTCTCAAAGTGCTCTGTGGAACATTTGCAATTAGTCCAAAGAGAGCAGGCTGTATATGGTCCTGGTTCTCTCTCCTTATATCTAGGTACTAAATCACATTAAAAGACAGCTAAAATACCTTAAATACATTCATAATATGAGTTATTATTAATAATAATTAATATTATTATTAATATGTGGGGTTGTCTCTACAGGGATGTTATAAGATCATGAATGGGAGGGAAGGTGGGCTATGGGATTGGGAATCGGAGTGTATGTGGTCCAACAGACAATATCTCTATTAAAATGGGATCTACACTATGACAGAGTTTGAGAACTGCTGTAGTAGATAGACCCAATCCATGAAATTAAGTCCAAGTCAGTTAAGCGTTCTCTATGTGTGAATATTTTACTTATTTAACTAATAGGTTTAGAAACTGATTTAGTTAAACTGGCACAACTCCACTGTGTGGGCACTCTTAAATTGGTTTAAGAGGGCCTTATATCGATTTAGCTTAAGTCAAGACTTTACCTTAAATAAGACTTTAATTTACTATTTCCCCTCCCATTATTTTATTCTTTCCCTCATTTACTCTTCTTCCATTTATTGATTGCCTCCAAAGAGTCAGTTCAATATTGAGGGACATTAGTAGTGTCAATAACGACAACTGTGGAATTAAAATCAGGGAACAGTTTGGAGGGCGTGGGGGAGAGTGGTTGTTTGTATTTTAAATGCTGAGCTATGTACATTGAAATGCTCTAAACTATTTGAAGGATAAGGATATTTATACTGTGTGGGATGTGCTCTTTGCTTGCTCCTGTGTGATCAGGAAAATCTCAGTTAAATCATATATTCATTCTGTTATAAGCAAGTACACAACAATATGCACAGAATTGTGTTGTATTTCCAAGCTTAAGAGCTTTACAAGTAATATTTAAAATAAAACAAACTTACATCTTTGGCCCTTCTGAATTGTCTGAAGAAGCAATTCTGTAGAAAGAGAACCATAAGCACTTCAGATGTGAAGTAACAAACACTAGTATTGGAGCACCTCACAAGTATTTAAAAATCTAACAACAGTCTATCTTACTTTTCCTTCCTTATAAGACAACAATGTTTTCTTAGTGTATGAATAATGCATAAATCAATATAGATAACATACTGAAAATAAAATAATAAGACATTTCTATCATATTTTTACATATTGTTTTTACTTTAGACAATCATGCGTCAATTAACTATTCTCCAAAGTACATACTCAGATCAATGCGTCTTTGATTTCAGCACTCAATTGGCAGCCAAAAGCTCAATTATAGTGGAACTGATAAGATACTTAACATGGATTGCACGTTCCTTTTAAGTGTCCTGTAATTAGTGCTTAAGTAACATGGAATTGAAATGGGACATGATAGAAATTCATGTCATGCTTGGACATAGTGAGTTCAGAAAAATTCAGAGCAGTTCTTTGGCTCATAAAACTACCTGAAAACTAGTGACAGCTCTCTTTGAAGCCAGACCATATTTGGGTTACTCCCTTCCTGAAGATAACAGGACAATCTTGTGTCTCACTGCTTTCAGCTCCAAAGGAATGATTCATCTCTACACTCTAGCTTTCTCTTAATAGCAATAATAAAAAAAATAATTTTAAAAATCTGATGTCTAGCAAATTACCCTTTGCTACCACCAGCAATGGACCACTTGCTTATTATCTGAATTCCTTCCAAGAAATCATAGTTATAAGCATGGCAAAGACAGATAGGGTCTTTTTCCTAGAATTGAGCAGTGCACGGCTAGTGGTGCTCTGACTCCCCACCCTTGGCCATGTAATGGTAGTCCTGCTTACGTAGTTTCCACATCTCTCTATTTGCTTCTGATTTTAATCTTGTTGCAACTCTGCTCAACACACCACTTCATGGTCTTCCTGAAACATGCTTCAAGCGAAGTGGGAAGCTCTCCTTTGATTGGTGCCTATTATTAGCTATAATAATACTGAGCACTGAAAAATAGCATGTACATCTTCAAAGCACTTTACAAATATGAATAATTAATCACTTCACTCCCATCTTTGATGGCCAAGTGCAGGGTGGCAACACCAATCAGAGGTAAGGTGACCATATTTCACAAAGGGAAATCAGAACACTGTATGGGGCTGGCCTGAGCCACTCATCTGAGCCCTGTCTCCCATCCCCTCCGCCACACGTGGAGCTGGCCTTTTCCCTCCCACCGCCGCACGTGGGGCTGGCCCCAGCCTTGCCTTCCCTCACCCCCCATGCAAGCTCTCATCCGAGCCCAGCCTGCTCCCCGTGTGGGGCTGGTGTCACTCGTCGTCCGAGCACTGCTGGCCACCCCCCACCCTGTGCAGGGCTGGCATTGCCTGAGCCTGGCCTGCCCCCCTGCTTGGCTGGTGTTGCTGCTCGCCCAAACCCTGTCTCCCCACAGATTGATGGAGCCCTTTCTCCCCGCCTCCCACCCAAAGAGCTGGCATTACCACTCCCCCCCACCCTGTATGTTCCTCTGCGCCCCCCTAGGGGTGCGTGCCCCACTTTTTTGGCAAAAGTGGGCATTTGTCCGGTTTGTTCTTGCCAACTTATGATTAATTGGCAAGAGCAAATGGGACAAATGCCCACTTTTGCCAAAAAAGTTCGGACAGCCAGGACAGGTCTTAATAAAGGGACAGTCCTGGCCAAAACGGGACATATGATCACTATAATTATAATCAGAGGTGCTCCATGAATGAATTGTGTCATGAAAGTCTCATGAGGACAATGCCTGCCTTGTGGGGCAATTGTGTGTGTACGGAGTATGCATTGCGGGAGAAGAGCAGTAATGAAGGCAGGGGAATATACTAGCAGAGGGAAGGCCAGCATAAGGGGGAAGAGGAGAGGAGGCCAAGGAATAGAATCGTATCAATTTTGTCCAAAACAGGGGGTACGTCTATACTTACCTCCGGGTCCGGCGGTAAGCAATCGATCTTCTGGGATCGATCCCGGAAGTGCTCGCCTTCGACGCCGGTACTCCTGCTCCGCGAGAGGAGTACGCGGAGTCGACGGGGGAGCCTGCCTGACGCTTCTGGACCCACGGTAAGTTCAAACTAAGGTACTTCGACTTCAGCTACGTTATTAACGTAGCTGAAGTTGCGTATCTTAGTTCGAAGTGGGGGGTTAGTGTGGACCAGGCCAGGTAAAACTCTCTACTCCTCCCTTGTGCAATACTTGGTGGTTGTCTGCTGGGAAGACATTAACAGTCATTCTGCAGTTCTGTTACTTGGGATGCTTCCACAATTGCCATGACACTAGTGAGATATTGAAATTAATCCAAAATAAATGCATCATGATCAGCATTTGTAAAATAAATCCATCATTTTGATGAGAATGAGGGCAACAAGCAATGATGTAACAGAAACTAAACTTCAGCCTTAGGTGCCGTACTTCTATTGAGCAGTGATTTTGAATCTTGGGTTAAACAGATGGACGGTAGCGAACTAAGAAGGTTAAAGTAATTGCAAAGCTTACATCTTTATTTGACTCAAAACAGTGCTTGCATAGCAGGTTGGATAAAACCATAAAAGAAATATTATATACCATGTGTATACAGTAGAAATATCTCTCGCCATCTTTAAAAATTAAAATATGTTATGGTAAAACAACAAAAAAGAGTTGGAGTAATAAGAAGTGTCATAGTTCAACTCCTCTTTTTGCCCTTAGGCATAGCCGCAGTCATCTAAAATTATATAGTGGGCTAGATTATATGAAAATGACAGTGGCAGAAGATTAAAGCAGCATAAAAACCCATATAGACAAAGATAGAAATTTCCTTATAAAATGCCATAAGCTGTTTGTTGGGGGTGGGGGGAGTGTTAGGGTTATGCAGTGTGTATTTGTGTGTTTGGTGGTGGTTGTTTTTTGTTGTTGTTGTCGTTGTTTTGCTTTCTTGTTTGCAACTTTCTATGGGCACAATCATGCCATCTCCACTGTAAAAGGAGGGAAAAGGAAGTGGGGAGCCTTTCCTCCCACAAAGCAAATAGCAAATGATTACTACATTGCACACAGGTGTGGACTGCTGTGAGATCAAAACAGCTAATGCTCATGTCTATACATCATATCCCCAAGAGGACTTAATCTGCTGCATAGAGGACAGAACTCTTCCCCCTATGTTGGCTGGTGCATGTCCTCTCTCAACAGCAAGCACTAGATGGCAGATGGCAGCACACAGGTTGCTTCCACTCAGAGAAGTAGCGAGCTGCAGCCCTCTGTTGGAATCCTGCCCTGTCAGGATAACTGTAACAGACAACACTCCAGATTCCATTTCTGCTCCCCCCCACCATAGTTACACGAGCCAGGGTATGAGTTAGTCATAAATCTTAAATACAAACCCTACATCACAGCAAGAAAACAGTTCTGTATAGAAGGGTATGACATTGGCTGTAATGTAATTTCCAGAATAGCCCTAAAAGTCTTGTGCATATAGACCAGGGGTGGGCAAACTACGGCCCGCAGGCCGGATCCGGCCTCTCAGGGTTTTGGATCCAGCCCGCAGCGGCGCTGGCACCACATCCCTGCGGCCCCCAGGCAGGGGGGCAGAGGGCTCCATGCATTGCCCCTGCGTGCAGGCACCGCCCCCCGCAGCTCCCATTGGCCGGGAACGGGGAACTGCGGCCAATGGGAGCTTTGGGGGAGATACCTGGAGGCGTGGCAAGGGCAGCGCACGCGGAGCCCTCCGCCCCTCCCTCCCAGGGGCCGCAGCGCTTCCTGAAGCGGCGCGGGGCCGGAGCTGGGGCCAGGGTAGGCATGCAGGGAGCCTGCCCTGGCCCCGATGCATGCCGCTGCCACCACAGAGCCGCTTGAGGTAAGCGGCACCGGGCTGGAGCCCGAATCCCTCCTGCACCCCGCCCCCCAACTCCCTGCCCTAAGCCCCCTTCCTGCACCTCGTACCCCTCCTGCATCCCAACTCCCTGTCCTACATCCCATACCCCTCCTGCACCCCAATCCCCTGCCCTGAGCTCCCTGCTGCACCCTGCACCCCTGTGCACCCCAACCCCCTGCCCTGAGCCCCCTGCCGCACCCTGCACCCCTCCTGCACCCCAACCCCCTGCCCTGAGCTCCCTGCTGCACCTTGCATCCCTCCTGCATCCCAACCCCCTCCCGCAGTTCACAGCCCTCCCGCACCCAACCCCCTTCCCTGAGCCCCCTCATACACCCCGCACCCCTCCTCTGCCCCAATCCCTTGCCCTGCGCCCCTTCCGGCACACTGCACCCCCTCCCATACCCCGCACTCTCTCTCGCACCCCAACCCCCTGCCCCAGCCCTGCATACAATTTCCCCACCCAGATGTGGCCCTCGGCCCAAAAAGTTTGCCCATCCCTGATATAGACAGTTACTGAAGCTATGTTAATTGCATCCATGCTGAATTCTAACTTCCTGCAACTGCTGACTCTATGGACAGGAATACAGTGGTTGAGGTAATATATTTTATTGAATCAACTTCTGTTGGTGAAAGAAGTTTTTGAGCTCCACAGAACTCCTTGTCTCTTTCAACAACTCTCTGGATACGCACACAGTAAAGAAAATGCAAGGGGGGGAAAGAAAAAGAGCACAAGCGTTCAGGAAAATGTCAGACTACAAATTGCTTTTGAAATCAAAAGCACAAGGAAGCAGATGTATTGCATCTACATATCCATTTGGAAGTTTATCCATTGGCAAAAGAGAATACTCAGGATTATCACAGAGTTGCTATTCTGTAGTGAGCTAAGTGGCTAGAAAGGAACTGTACTGCAGCACAGAAAAAAAAACACGTCTACAGCATGGTTCAGAATTAATCATAATATAAACACTGTGCTCATTCTTACCGTTTAGTATCAACTATAGTTGTGGTGGTTGTATCTGGTGGAGTTCTGGACTGCCTGTATTAAAACATGCAATGAAAAGTATCTGAGCATTTTTCTTTAAGAAGAAAATTCATTCTCTAATTTACCATTTAGAAATAGGTTTGAGAGGTGCAATAGAATACTGAGAATGGTGAAATTAGTGTGCGCCTTCAAAAAAGCTATACATTCATTTATTACAGAAATATGCATAGCCCCTCCACAGTAAGATTGGAGAGAGCATTCCAATGAAAGGCCAGTTTTCAGACTTCCACCCCGACAACTCCCAACATCTTGGTAAAAACTAAACAAAAGCAGTTGAAATTTTCCATAAGAGAGTCAGTGGGTTGGTTGGTTTGTTTGCTTCTTTGTTTTAATAAATTTTGGGGTAAATCAGATATCCCATTACAAGTTATGTAGGTATACATTTTTTGACTGGTTGAAGATTTATTCAGCCTTGAACATACAAAACTCCACGTTTTATATACATACTTTTCATGCATAATTTGTATGTGCAAAGTTTTTCTTTTTACTGAGAAAAGTGCACTATTTATCTATATGCAAGAATATATTTAAACAATTATAAGCAGTTCAACATCAGGCCCATGTGTTCATATAAGCTTTTGTGTTTGCATACAACATAGCCAAGTTTGGGTAGATTTTCACAGGAAAAGGCTTATCCCTGACACAGGGCAACCCCCTACCAAATTTCAAGGCATTGCTCCAAAGCAGGGATCAGCAACCTTTGGCACGCGGCCTGCCAGGGTAAGCACCCTGGCAGGCTGGGCCGGTTTGTTTACCTGCCGCGTCTGCAGGTTCAGCCGATCGCGGCTCCCACTGGCCGCGGTTCGCCGTCCCGGGCCAATGGGGGCTGCAGGAAGCGGCGCGGGCCGAGGGATGTGCTGGCTGCCACTTCCCTCAGCCCCCATTGGCCCCAATCCTGCAAATATGTATGCACCTGCTTAAATTTATACACTGAGTTCAAGTCACATAATTTCACTTCTGTAAATACAATTTCACTTAGAAACACTGAGATCACAATGCAATTTTTCACTAGTATGAATAATCCAGAATAAAGATAACACCCACATCTTGTGTGGGTATGTGACGGGTTGGATCACAGAAACCCCCTTGGGAGCTGCCACCTGATGTGCAAAGACTACCTCTGCTCCTGTTTTCCCTGCCAGCTCAGGACTCCAGCACCCTGTCTTGCTGAGCCAGACACTTCCGTTTGCTCCAACACAGACCCAGGGTCTGAATCACTTGTCCCAGTGCCGCAAGTTTACCCGAAAACAGCTCACAGAAGTGTGCTTGTTTTTAGCACTTAGATGCCCAACTCCCAATGGGGTCTAAACCCAGATAAATCCGTTTTACCCTGCATAAAGCTTATGCAGAGTAAACTCATAAATTGTTCGCCCTCTATAACACTGATAGAGAGATATGCACAGTTGTTTGCTCCCCCAGGTATTAATACATACTCTGAGTAAATTACTAAATAAAAAGTGATTTTATTAAATACAGGCAGTAGGATTTAAGTGGTTCCAAGTGGTAACAGGCAGAACAAAGTAAGTCACCAATCAAAATAAAATAAAATGCGCAAATCTATGTCTAATCAAACTGAATACAGATAATCTCACCCTCAGAGATGCTTCAGTAAGTTTTTTTCTCAGGCTGGACACCTTCCAGGCCTGAGCACAATTCTTTCCCCTGGTACAGCTCTTGTTGCAGCTCAGGTGATAGCTAGGGGATTCTTCATGATGGCTCCTCTCCCCACCTCTGTTCTCTTCCACCCCTTTATCTATCTTTTGCATAAGGCGGGAACCCTTTGTCCCTCTGGGTTTCCACCCCGCCTCCCCTCACTGGAAAAGCACCAGTTAAAGATGGATTCCAGTTCAGGTGACATGATCACATGTCACTGCAAGACTTCATTGCCCACTTGCCAGCACACACATATACAGGAAGACTAACAGGTAAACACAGCCATCTGCAGACAATGGTCCTGGTTAATGGGAGTCATCAAGATTCCAAACCATCATTAATGGCCCACACTTTACATAATTACAGTAGGCCCTCAGAGTTATATTTCATATTTCTAGTTTTAGATACAAGAGTGGTACATTTATACAAATGGGATGATCACACTCAGTAGATTATAAGCTTTGTAATGATACCTTACAAGAGACCTTTTGCATGAAGCATATTCCAGTTACATTATATTCACTTATCATATTTTTATAAAACTATTCCAGTTACTTTATATTCACTTCTTATTATGTTTTTATAAATCCATATAGACTGCACTACGTCACAGGGTATTTATACACGTTTTCAATAATTCATCCATATTTAACATTGAGATGTGAGCAGTTTCATTATTCATCAGACAGAAAGCAGATGCAGCAGTAGCATTAAAAACTAAACATTCACTTCTTACATAACTGCAGCTAATTTTAGAACAAGTTTTTCTGAATTTCCTAAACACCTGCTACTGAGAACTGATTCAGTGGAAGTTAAGGGTCCTCAGTACCTTGCAGGATCAGGTATAATAATAATAAACACCTAAATGCTATTCTTAGTTCTTACCCTTTGTTTTCCACAGTAACTGTGGTGTTCTTATAACCGGAGACTGGTGGTGGCATCCAAGACTGCCTGTTAAGTATTAATGAATAATTCAATTATAAAGTATGAGCATGCAGTGTTTAGTGGATGAACAGCAATTTAATTCTATTTGTCTATACAATATTTTGAAAGGAGAATGTTAGAATCTCAGAGGTGATATAGAAAATGCTTATAACATTTCCTAAATTCTTCTTCTTCTTTTAAACTTATTTTCCAGTACCTTCATAGCTACCACCATCTTGAGACACCATTCTGTTCACTCTGTTAGAGCATTCTTATGGAAATTTAATGCAAGTGAACATAAAGTGAAATCTTTAATTACAATGGTGCCACCAATGTACAAAATACAGTCTTTGGTCCAAGTTCTTCTTTGCTGCAGCTCAAGTGAAGTAAGAATTTAGCCCCTTGTGCCAATAAAACAGGTCTCATGAGGGACAACCAGATGGGTCAAACACCCAAGCCAGCTGACAGATCTGGAAAGCTTGATGTATTTACGTGGCCTCCATAACACATTCAGATTCTGCAGAATCTAAGTTTTCATTTTAACAAAAGTAAGTTTGTAGCCATCGTTGTTATACAGAAAAACCTTCTAAATGCGAACCGAGTGTAATTAATGCAGTGGTGTCTTCCCAAGTCTGCAGACAGCCTAAGGAAAATGACTGAGGGGAGTAAAGTGTCTGTCCTCCATTAATCTCATTAGGGATGTTAATTTTAATACAACAGCAATACTTTAATTTCAATGTCAACAATTTAATTGCTGATCATTTTAGTATATGGAATGGAGATGGAATTGGAGCAAAGCCAGAAGGGACAGAATTTGGGAGCTGCTGCCAGGAAGGTAATGCACAAGAAAATGGGTATCCACCAGCAGCCCATTTTTAGTTAATAATTCAGTTCTCTGCTAGGGGTGTCACCTGTGCAGGTTTTCCCAGAATCCCCCTTTTTTGAGGTAACTGTCTTGGGAAATCTGTAAGGGTACTCGGTACACACTGCCAGTTGTCCAGTTTTAGACTCAGGATCCTACTGGGGGTCCCGGTCTTCCGAACCTTACAAGTGGCAACTCTGTTCTCTACTCCATAGCCAATTCTCTCCATCTTCCAGCTAATGCCATTGAAATCAAACAAGTTTCAAACCCCAATTTTTATCCATTATAGAAGACAGCACTATTATTGTTCATTTGTAGTGCAGTAGTGTGTAGTGGCTCTAATCAAGAATCAGTGCTAGACCCCACCCAAATAGACGGTAAAAAGAGAGTCCCTGCCCCCACAGTGGGCCAGTGGGGAATAGCCAGATAATGATAATTTTCAGGAGCAGAATTCTTTTTAAAAGAATTCCAAACTTGTTAGAGGAAGTTATTGTTCCAATATATCTTAACACATTACTGATGCACAACAGTACTGTATATATCCTCAGAAAGCAAAACAAAGGTGATATTGAATACCTTTTGTGCTTCACAGGAGATGTGGTGGTGGTGGTGGTAGTAGTGGTTGATGTATTTGAAGGAGTCCAGGACTGTCTGTTAACGAAAGAGACTTAGTTTGCTCATTGTTTTTCAGTGAAGTTATGATTTTAATTGATAAACTAAGGAATGGGTTCTTTACTATCACAGCACTCTTTAAAGGATGGAGTTATAAACACTAATTGGTACAATTATAGCTACATATGTTGGCTAAGATTTTCAAAAGTGATTAGTGATTTCAGGAGCCTCAGTTTTGGATGCCCAATGTAAGATACATTGAAGGGTCCTTATATTCAGAGGGTATTCTGAAAAAATCAGACCACTTTAAAGTGTCTCAAATTGGGCACCCAAAATCATTAGCCACTTGTAAAAATCTTGACCATTATATCCATCCATGTCACTACACTACATTTTATAGCCACCAAAACATTTAAAAAATCTCCTTTTTTCACATTTTGAAATGTATGTTTCTTAATTAGATACTATTATTGTGGCAATGTTGTACATTCCCTTCATCTTCATCAGGTGTGCCATAGTATGCATAGATCAGGAACGAGGTTATCCGTAACCAAAGCTAGCAACCACCTCCATCAGCACTGGTTTGGTTTCAGATGCTTTCTTATTATTAGGCTGGAAGTTCAACAAAGTATGAAGCAGATTTACTGAGGAATGCCGCTATAGGGTCAGCAATCACGTAGTCACCAAAAGCTTTGGAGTTGTAATAAGATCACCAATGATGGCCATAGACTGAACATCCAGCCAGACCATCTTAAGAACCTAGCTAGAGATCAATCTGGGTGGTGCATGATTTACAAGAAGGCTACATCCCTTTGGGAGTTGCCATGATGATGATGACGGATGATAAATGCTGTACATTTAAGTACATGCCTACAAGACTATTTGACATTCTACCCTACAGCGATTTCCTCATAAGAGGTTTGCATTTCATAAGTTATTGTCCTATTGTCTCAACTTTTGAACTAGTGAGGATAAATATAGTATGGAATCTATCACAATTCTTGTTATGAACATTCATCAGGGGAACATGTGTAGAGGGCCAGTGCAAAGCCTATGTACCATTTAAGTCCCACCATGAGTCCTCTTTTGAATTTCCCTCTAGGCATATTCAGAATTATCTCCAGCAAGAACATAAAACCCAGTTTATATGCCATTTCACATATCTTTAACATACTGATTTACAACAAAGTTGTGAGAAAGCTTAATACGAAAGCATAGTCTCACTTGCACTGTACGTGTCATAGTCACTCAGTTTCACTTTAGAGTTATCTCACCACTTCCCAGGGTTACACTTACGTGTAGCGTTTGGTTATCATAACCAACTATATTGGACATAATTTATCACTGATATAACTGACATTGAATGAAGTTGGACCAGCGGGGAATTTGACCAATTGCATTTATAAATATAATAGCTGAGCTTTTATGACCTTTATCTTCTTAAATGGAGACAAATTACTCATGTGCCAACAGTAATTTAGAAGGTATGTTTTCAGTATTGTTCACCAAACACTAGTATATATTTAATGTGGTCATCCCTGACTCAACAAAAAATCTAGAACTGGTCAAAACTTTTTGCCTATGGAAAATTGGGTTTGAATAAATGAAAATTTTCACAGAAAGTGTCTCATTTCCTCCAAATTGTTAGATATTTTTCTTTGAAAAACCAAAAACCTCCAACCCAATTTTTTTTTTAGCTTTCAGCTGCCAAAAATTCTTTCAGTTTTTCAGTTTTCATTTGTTCAACAAAGTCAAAGTTTTCTGCTGAAAAGTTTGATGAAAACGTTTTTCACCTAAATTAAAAAAAAATTCTCACCAGCTCTGAAATCTTTGTCACATCACACATCATTGTTTATGCTCTCTATTCATCCTTGATATATGGCATCACTAATAAAATAACAGTAATAAGAACGTATAAGGATCTTTTTAAGAGTTAGCAGGTCTCAGACTCTTACCTTTTAGTTGTCCTATTATCTAAGGGTGGGGAATTATTTGTTTTATCAGCATCTCTTGTGTCTGAAATTCTGTATAGAAATACAGAACAAAATTCATTTTCATAAAACATTTAGATTAGAATCACGTCTTTAAAAATACACTAAGAATAAAATGGCATCATCAACTATTACCTGGTGAGGCTGCATAGCTTCTGACAGCCAGTACATCAGATGTTGATGAGTAAGAATAGTATAGTAACTGAACCAATACACATAATTTCAATGCATGCATGTGACTGAAAAAAAGATTATAAACTATGTCCAAATTCTGAATGGTTAAATATCCTGTAACTACCACAGTCATCATTAAAATGAAATGATTAGAATTTTTCCTTTAAACTGGCTGTGACTACTATTAAGATCAAACTGTTAGAAAGTCTTTTGATGAGGCAGTTCTGTATATTTATAATCAAACCCCTCTTCCACTGTCCCATGAGAGGTACAATGTTCTTTCATGATGGCTTTTAGAGATCAATGTGATTTGAAGAAACTCTAGTACAGAATCAGTGATGGAATAGACGTGTGACCTTCCGGGGTAACATTAGCCAAAGAGGTTAGATTATTTGTACTTAATATTGATTTTACTCAGCCATTAGATTTGCATTAAGGATCAAGCACATGACTTTTATGGATGCTAGAGTCATTGCCTAAAACTTTTCCAAACTGTTAGTGAATTCACTATTAGAATAAGATAGCATTTTTATCTTTCACTAAAGTCTGAGTATCACAAAGATTCTAGCAGAACTGATAACACTTACCAAGTTCTAGCCTCATTCCATGTGTGGAACTCCCTTTGGTATCAATAGGAGTTCTGCACAAAGTTCAAGTGTACAATATATACTTTAAGGTTGATTATAAACACTAATTTGGGGTTGTTTATCTTAAATGTTTGGCTTAAATAACTGAAAGCAGTTGAAGAGCTCTGAAGAAAAAAAAATACCCAAAGAAGAGCGATGTGGCACACAAAAGCTTCTTTCTTTCACCAACAGAAGTTGGTCCAATAAAACAAGGGTTCTCAACCTTTTTCTTTCTGAAGCCCACCCCAACATATTATTAAAAATGCCACGGCCCACCTGTGTCACAATAACTGGTTTTCTGCATATAAAAGCCAGGGCTGGCATTACGGGGTAGCAAGCAGGGCAATTACCTAGGGCCTCATGTCACAAGGGCCCCCACAGAGCTACATTGCTTGGCTTCAAGCTTGGGTGGCGGAGCTTAGGGCCTGGGCTTCAGCCCCATATGGCAGGGCTTTGGTTTTCTGCCCTGAGCCCCAGCAAATCTAATGCTGGCCCTGGTTGGTGGCCCCCCAGAATCCTGCTCGTGGCCCCCCAAGGGGCTTCGGACCCCTGGTGAGAATCACTGCAATAAAAGATATTATCTCACTCACTTGTCGCCGAAAAATGGTTGTCTGTCAAGTCCCATTTATTTAAATACAAAAATGAAAATAATTCCAGTTATTTTTTTTATAAAAGAGTGCCTATTCAGTGCAATAGACACAGAACAATAATTAGCCATGTTCAGTCAGAGAACTACTAATCAGATGTCACTGACTGAAACAAAGAATTACATATTCTGCCTTCAGATACACAGGTGGGCGCTGATTGCTTTCAATGGAAATTCTTGCATAGCCATTCCAGGGCCCAATCTGTGCAATGTGTTTTCTAGATTTTTTTTTTTTAATTCTTAAAATTAGATATGTAAGTAGTTCAAGTTGCTCATGCCCCAGGCAATTTGTGACTGTAGCCTGCAGTTATTCAGCAGACCACTAGAGGTCTCACTAAGCTTGCTAACATTACAGGGGCCATAGGGATGAAAATTTCTTGAAGTAATTCTCAACCGGCTGTTATTCACTGAGACTTACACGCTTGTCCTTCATTCTGCTTTTTATTGAGGACATTGCAGAAAAATCCAAATCTACATCTTTAATTTCCCTAGTGTTACTGTCCCAACATCTCAGCCTCTCGTGGCAACAATGGAGTGGAAGCCTGAGGTTGGCATGAGTGTTCTTTTTATTTACTTCAATCGCCTTTTTCAAGACTCAGATATCATAGAAGGCAATTGTTAGTGTTTATTCTTCACCGCATCAGTTTTGGAGTCAGTAATATTTTGTACAAAGAAGTAAAAGCATAAAGATCATCATGATGACTAGCTGATTTTAAGGCATGTCTTCCACCTCTTCCCCACATATCTAATTAGTTCTCAGTAAGACTGGAGAAACAATCTGGGTAAAATAAGACAATCCCCTTCCCCCACACTTCTCATAAATAAAGTAGGGGTTTATGATACATTGTGGGAGGGAAGTGTAGGGACTCGGAAGGAATGAGAAATTTGGGTGAGGCTCCCTCAATGTGAACGTTTGAGGCTGGCCCGTTGCTAATTCACATACATGACAGAGACTGTATTTGCTGGCAGAAAAGTTGTATATATTTATATGTCACACAGAGGATCCAATTCTCCACTCACTTGCATGGGAGTAAATCAGAAGGAATTCCATTTACAAAGGAAATCCCTTTTTATAGTAGAACCTATTCAGTGCTACAGACACAGAATAATAAAAATAGGAACTCCCTTTTGAAGGTGCATCAACATAAACTTATCTGCAAACTGGTACACCATTCTGCTATCTGAATGCTTTCTGGACACAGAACTATGCAACCAATATATCCCTCTTCACATAGGCGCTGATTCAGTGGGTGCTCTGGGGCTGGAGCACCCACGGAAAAAAATTAGAGGGTGCTCAGCAGCCACCGGCAGTCCCGTGGATCAGCGCCTCCCTCCCCCGCCCACGCCTCCTTGTGTCGCAGATCAGCTGTTCAGCAGCATGGGGGGAGAGGAGGAGGAGCGGGACAGGAAGAGGCTGGGGAGGGAATGGGAAGAGGCAGGGCAGGGATGGAGCGGAAAGAGGTGGGGCAGGGGTGAGGGCTTGGGGGAGGGGTGGAGTGGGGGCAGGGCCCAGGGCAGAGCGAAGGTGGGGCCTGGGGCAGAGCAGGGGTGGGAAGAGGTGGGGCAGGGGTGTGGCTTGAGGGAAGGGGTGGGGTGGGATGGGGTGGGGCCTGGGGCGGAGCCGGGGTCAAGCACCACCCAGAATCAGAGGAAGTCAGTGCCTATGCCTCCTCAAGACAGAAGATCTTGGGGGGGAAAATACACGTACAGTAGTTTTAGAAAATAAATAAATCAGACTACCGTGGTATAAATGCAAAAGTTAATATGCCACTCACGCCATTTTACTTGTTAATACTTCTCCTTTTGTAGACAAAACATATACAAAACACCACTTGCATGACAATGACAAAATATTGTATATAAGAATATGCTACCTGTCTAAAGTAGTATCAGATCTGTATCGGCCAAGTAAAACTTTCTGATCTTCCTTTTCATTCAAGTTACTGTTATAAAGAAAAATTAGTTAGACATGTAATTAAAAACAAACTATTTTTAAAGTTTGCATTTGTTTGCAAAAATGACATTTTATTCTAAATAAGCATATATACAAATATATTTTAACATTTTTATTCATTTGATCAAAATGAAAACAATATGCAAATGTTGATGTAAGACATTATGCAGTACTCCAATATATTCAGAGTTAAAGGCCAGATCCTGTTCCCATTGAAGTCGATAGGAGGTAAGTAATTAATAATAATGGGAGGAAGAGCAGGGTCAAATTGAACAAAACAAGTTCTTTGCATAAACAAGACTTTAGTGTGTGTATTTTCCTTTATCTCTGGCAATACCATTTGACAGATGTATAGACATACTACTTACTGTACCTGTGTAAACTATCTTGAGATTTGTATTGGTTAAGCACAACTCTGCCATAGTTTTCATTAGTACTGCAATTAAAAAAAAGTCAGATCTTTGGTGAAAATCAAATTATTTAAACAAAGATCAATTGCTTGACAACGATTTATGTCTTGACTCAGATCTAACACCAGTTTTAAACCATTTTAACTCCACTGACAGCAGCTCTTGTCTGTACGCTCTTTGGAATGGGGACTGTCTCTTATTATGTATTTGTATGGTGCCTAGCACAATGGATGCCTGAACTTGATTGCGGCTTCTAGGCATTATTGTAACACCAATCATAATAATAGGGCACCACAATAGGTTAAAGTATTGGTCCTGATGCAATTAAGTTCCTTAAATGAATGTGTCAACATTAAATGATTGGCATTTTTCCAGACATGGAAAATCAGGTATTCCAGTAATCAAAGCATAAGGGAATGTCATCTTGAGCCCATCCTGTGAGGTGCTGAGCACATCTAGTGAGGTGCTGTGCACCCCAAGCTCCCACTGAGGTAACAGTGGAAGTTAAGGATGTTAACAGCTTGCAGGAGGCATTCAGCAGCACTTCAGGGTTGGGCCAATAGAGATTTTATAGTGAAATAAATGCAAACCCACTTGCTAAAGCATTACTCTTGCAAAAAATTAGATAATAGAATAAATTAAAAAATAAATAGAAGAGTATGTTAACCTGCAGTCAGGGAAAATATGCTGTATATAATCTTTACTGCCTGAACTGAAATTAATTCTTTCCTTACCTCTCCTCCTCAGGTCTTTTCTTTATCCAGCTGCTATCCTGCAACAGGGTCCTTCGCTTGTTGTTGTCATCATGAACAACCTGTTGTCTGCTTTTCCCTGTAAGAGTGGGACTCTTTGTATCTATCAATGCAGAAGCACAGCTATTGAAAAAACTATGCGATAAAGGTCTAAAACTTAGAATTGCATTAGAAATACTTGTTTTTCTGAGAAAGTTTGCAATATGCCTATATATATTTATGGCACAAACTGAATCTTTAGATATTACACACGAAGATCAAGGCTTCTTTAATATCAGTCTGTTAAGCCACATGTACAATCATTCAGCAGGTCATTTGGGTATTAGAAGTTACCTTCCTAAGTGTTCCATGTTTTACCAATAAATAACCTGCTGTGCTGCAACCAGTGTAGAAGTCCCTGAATCCCACTTTACCAATTTGAATTCACAATTTCAGTTTAAAAATCAGCAGCTTGATTTACTTCTGAATGAACACAGAGTTGATTTGATGAGTGAATTAGAAAATATCCATTAATGTGTCACAAACATGCAAAATAACCTTAACAAACAGTCTTAATGCCTGGTACACTGAAGAATATTATTTCACATGATCCATGAGAACATATTCTCAGTGTATTAGACAGCTGTGAATAATTGTGCTTTTAGTGGTAGTTTGGCCCCATGGGAAAAGCCTCCCTGTTCATTCTTAAGCCTATTACAGCTATATCCTTTTCTCCCCGTCTGAGCTCCTTACCATCACTTTGTTTTCTACCATTACTGCACCTTCCCTTTAACTGTGTGTTCAGTTGCAGTGGAGGCTCAATCCTGCAGTCATGACACATGGAAACTCCTTTTGAAGCCAAGTTGGAGGTGACAAATTAGACATCTGACATGTACACACGAGACCCTCATTAAGGACACGCACTTACTCAATAAATTGGAGTGCTAAGAAACAATGGGTTCTGCACCCTTTCTTTTGGGAAGCCTATTGGATTATCTCTATAATGTGCCTAGCCTCTGAGCACCACAGCAAAAAAAACTTCAAAACTCTTTGCTTCACTCAAAATGGATTTGAGCAGATATAACTAAACGTCATTCAGATTGAAAGTATATGGTTACACTCTTTGTGTTTGGAAAGACATATCACTTCACAAACAGAGTACACACAGTCGGTATTGGGTTCATTTGTCGCACCAGTATTTTGCTCTGACTTGTGAAAAGAGGAAGCCAAGTTCCTTTTATCCATGAAATTCAAGTGTAGTGACAAGTATGAAGAACCACAAATACATAGGCCAGATAGAGGAAGCGAAACACAGCAAAGGACATGATTGTTTGTTTTAAGGGAGAGTGCCTGGAGTACGTGCTTCAGAAATATTTTCTTTACTGAAAAAACAATGTCAGAGTACAAAGATGGAATTCTGTATTACATTTAAAATCAAGAAAAGATTGCAAGCCATAACATGTCCTCTACCATTTTCTGTGGTTCCCTGTGGGATGATTGGGATGTTCACAAGGACAGGTTTTTTCACTGGACCAGTGATGTTACCAATATTTTAATATGAGCTTCCAAAAATGTCTTCCTAATTTCTCCTTCTCTTACGCTGTGGTATATCCTTTGTACCATGCACTTAGATTCATAGGTTTTTAAGGCCAGAAGTAGTCATTATAATCATTTAGTCTGACTGCCTCCTAACACAAGCCAAAGAACCTCACCCAATAATTTCTGCAGCAAGCCCATAACTTCTGTTTGAGCTATAGCATATCTTTTAGTAAGATATCCATTTTTCATTTAAAATCTTCAAGTGATAGGGAGTCCAGTGCATTTCTACATACGTTGTTCCAATAGTTAACTACCCTCACTGTTAAAAATCTACACCTTAATTCTTGCAGAATGGAGGGGTGAAGGAGTGGGAAAGGTATTCATTTTTTTTCCATTTAAACATTTTTTTCCTCGTAGTTACAGTCAAAGATGGAGGCAGCACCAATTAGCAAACTAACCTATATTAAATGCACTTGCTATAAAATGTATACTTTGCTCAGTGTATTGATAATATAGCACAGTATTCAGTAGTATAGTGATGGACATGGAATAACAACAACAATAGGCAGGCAGACAAATAGAACTTCCGACATTTGACAACTGAGGATGGAGGTTTGAAGACTTTGTAAAGGGAACTGTACGCTCTCCCCCTCCAAGTAATTTTGTTTAATACCTTACATCTGGTGCAAAACGTTTGCTCTTCAAAATTATTTTTATGAGCCCCAAGCATAAAAGCCATCTTCAGCAAGAATGGGTTAGCAGTATCCAAAAGGAAGAACTCCATCGGAAGTAAGGAAATCTTCCCAACACTCCCTTCATATTGATAGCATAATTTTAGCAAAGGACTCCTGCAAACCCTTTCCAACACATTTAAGGTTCTGCTCTAAAGTCAGTTACAGTCTCACACATCTCTAAAAATCTGCTATTACGCATAAGCACAAGCATAGATGTGGTGTTTTCAAGATGCACATCAATATATACCCAAGAGTACATCAAGCCTAGTGTGTGGAACATTCATTTCTCCCCAGTGGCATATCATGAAAGTGAAATTACTCCAAAAGTCCATTTTGGATTTTTTAATCATATTTCTTAATTTAAATAATCCAATTAACTTGAAACGAAGCCCCATCTAGAGGCAGCGGCTAAACAATATGCATTTAATGTTTGCTTGTAATACTGCAGTGCAAATAGTTTACTGTTAATGTGCGTTTCTACTGTATGTGTGGCCCAATCTGCATCAAATTGTATCTGTACTGATCAAGTCAAGGATGACATATATTAATGTGCTTATACAGATTTAATGTATATATTTTGCTGCAGCTTGCCTTAGTCCTTGAGCAAGTACAAAAGGGAGGGGAGGATACAAGGAACAACCTTTAATGCATCTGCAAAACTGAGCTGTAAGCTTTACATGGCACCGATCACATGCTGTAGCCATTTCAAGGGTGTAACGGTGGCTTTGCTCCACAAGAATTCCTGTTTGAGGTGTTCTCCTTTGTGTAGTGAGGTTCCTTGCAGGGGCGGCTCCAGGCACCAGCGCAGCAAGCGCGTGCCTGGGACAGCAAGCTGTGGGGGGCAGCCTGCCAGTTGCCGTGAGGGCGGCAGTCAGGCAGCCTTCGGCGGCATGCCTGCGGGAGGTCCGCCGGTCCTGCGCTTTCGGCGGCGGGGATGCTGAAGGCGCGGCACCGGCGGACTTCCCGCAGGCATGCAGCCGAATCTCCGTGACCAGCGGACCGCTCACAGGCGTGCCACTGAAAGCCGCCTGACTGCCGTGCTTGGGGCGGCAAAAAACATAGAGCTGCCCCTGGTTCCTTGCTATCCCCTATGGATGCTCTGTGGCAATGCAGCAACTAACAGAGATTTATATTTCAGTTATTTAAAATAGCTGTATAAACATATTTGCTTAAAACCAAGGAAAACATTTTAATTAGGGCTGTCAATTGATCGCAGTTAACTCAAGCGATTAACTCAAAGCAAATTAACTTGATTAAAAAAATTAATCGCGATTAATCGCACTTTTAATCGTACTGTTAAACAATAATAGAATGCCAATTGAAATTTATTATAAATAGTTTTGGATGTTTTTCTACATTTTCAACTATATTGATTTCAATTACAACACAGAATACAAAGTGTACAGTGTTTTGTTTTTGAGTGCAGTTATGTAACAAAAAAATTCTACATTTGTAATTTGCATTTTCACGATAAAGATTGCACTACAGTACTTATAAGAGGTGAAGTGAAAAACACTATTTCTTTTGTTTATCTTTTTTACAGTGCAAATATTTGTAATAAAAATAATAATATAAAGTGAGCACTGTACACTTTTTATTCTGTTACAATTTAAATCAATATATTTGAAAATGTAGAAAAACATACAACATATTTAAATAAATGGTATTCTACTACTGTTTAACAATGTGATTAGAACTGCAATTAATCATGATTTTTTAAAAATCTCATGATTAATCGCGATTAATTTTTGTAATCGTTTGACAGTCCTAATTTTAATAGCTCAGGGGGAGGACTCTGGGTGTCCAGCCAAAACCAGAACCTGAAGTGCTTGAAATCTTTTGAGATTTTTAATGCAATTGTGTCAAATGCAGAAGAATAGGTGACATTAGACTTCTAATAAGCATCTGGACATTTATCCAAGCAGAACCCAAACTCCCAACCTTTTGCCATCAGTCTTTTCCTAATCACTATTCATATTTCTCCTTTTTAAGGCATTATTACAGACAGGGTTGACAGTACGAAAAATCGTGCCTGACAACCACCAATCAATTATATTTTCTTTCCCTCTGTCCTGTCTTCCCAAATCCTCTTTCCTCAGTCTCTCCCTCTCCAACAATCTGAAATTACAGGGTGTATTGGGGAGAGGGACAATGTTGCAGGGAGTAAACCTGCCCCTCCCTTTCTCTCTCTGCAATGCCTTAACCTGCTCTGCTCACACTGCCTATTCTCTCTGCTTCCCTCAACAGCCGCTGAGCATGTCCCCCACTATGCTGCTCCTTGGTCTCCAGGGTAACCACAGGCACTAATGCGAGCAGAAGCCATGCTCTATCCCCGCTGTTTCCCTCCCCCACTCCTCCCTTGTGTGGTGCTGGCATTCCCAGCACTTCAACCAGAATGAAAATGCTGATAAGGATCAAGCAGCACTGCTGCCTCCACCTCCCAAACCGGTCCTCACATGCATTACTTAATCAAATAAGTAGTCCGCCATTGTTCTAAGGTGGGCAGCATGCAGTCTGATTTGATACCGTGTTGAAACAAGAATATGGAGGGCACAATGGCACTTGGATTAGGTTCACATACCGCATACATGCAATAAAAAGGGCTTGTTATTTCCCCCTATGCTTTAAATACCCTGAAAGTAACAGCATCAACATACCACTTTGATTAGGGGATGATTTTCCTATGGTGAAGGTTGACATTTTATTCAGGGATGTATCCTCCTTTGGGATCTAAAAGAAAAAACATTAAAGAACAACACTGTGGTGAGATTAAGAATTAGCAACAAAGACAGAAATGTTTTGGATAGTGAAACATCCTGTATCTTGAAGAGTTTTAGCAGGATGTAGTATTAATAGCTGGATTTCAAAATTTAAATGAATCTTAGTAAATACTCACTACAAATCAGAACCTGATCAAGAAATACTTGAGGTCTTCAAGGAGTCATGAAAGCCTCTCAAAGCCAATGATATCAGTAGAATATGAACTGTCCAAACCTTAATACTAACAGTCTGATACATGAATTCATACAAACAAAAAAATCACATCTGAAATGTTGGCCTGTTGCAAATACTTCAAATTGTTTAATAATTTGAGACGTAATTTATTAAAAACTAAGCTAGTTTTCTAGATCAACCAGCTGTAAAGTGTGGAAAATAAGATGCTTGTCCTAAAGGAGAAGGAATCACAGGATACTAGGATTCACAGGGTATTTTATTAGTATATTAGTGGGGCTAGGTCAGGGTAGTTTGTGCAGCAGGATTTGGATGCTGGAGAAGAGAGAAACACTGCCATTCCCTTCTGTTACATGTACTATGTTTTAAGATTTTGGGTTGTTTTTCTTCCCCTTTCTCCTCTCTTTTTTTCTTTCCTCTTCCCTCTCCAGCTGTCACCTTTATATCCTTTCCTCATTCTCTCTATCACAATCATTCACTCTCTCAGTCCTTTGTCTTCCCCTTGATCCCTTCTGTTCTGTGTACCTGATCTATCACTCGCTTACGCCAGTTTTACACTGAGGTAAGCAAGTAGTGAATCAGGGCCTATATGTGGAGGGGATATTTGCTGGAGGACTTTATTAGAGGTCTGGTGGCAAAAAAAAATTTCTTCAACATATACATTAATGATCTGGATGATGGGATGGATTGCACCATCAGCAAGTTTGTAGATGACACTAAGCTGGGGAGAGAGGTAGATACGCTGGAGGGTAGGGATAGGGTCCAGAGTGACCTAGACAAATTGGAGGATTGGGCCAAAAGAAATCTGATGAGGTTCAACAAGGACAAGTGCAGGTGCAGAGTCCTGCATTTAGGATGGAAGAATCCCATGCACTGCTACAGGCTAGGGACCGACTGGCTAAGAGGCAGTTCTGCAGAAAAGGACCTGGGGATTACAGTGGACAAGAAGCTGGATATGAGTCAACAGTATGCCCTTGTTGCCAAGAAGGCTAACGGCATATTGGGCTGTGTTAGTAGGAGCGTTGCCAGCAGATTGAGGGAAGTGATTATTCTCCTCTATTCAGCACTGGTGAGGTCACATCTGGAGTATTGCGGCCAGTTTTGGACTCCCAATATAGAAAGGATGTGGACAAATTGGAAAGAGTCCAGCGGAGGGCAATGAAAATTATCAGGGGGCTGGGGCACATGACTTATGAGGAGAGGCTGAGGGAACTGGGCTTATTTAGTCTGCAGAAGAGAAGAGTGAGGGGGAATTTGATAGCAGCCTTCAACTACCTGAAGGGGGGTTCCAAAAAGGATGGAGCTGTTCTCAGTGATGACAGAACAAGGAGCAATGGTCTCAAGTTGCAGTGGGGAAGGTCTAGGTTGGATATTAGGAAAAACTTTTTCACTAGGAGGGTGGTGAAGCCCTGGAATGGGTTACCTCTGGAGGTGGTGGAATCTCCATCCTTAGAGATTTTTAAGGCTCAGCTTCACAAAGCCCTGGCTGGGATGATTTAGTTGGGGTTGGTCCAGCTTTGAGCAGGGGGTTGGCCTAGATGACCTCCTGAGGTCTCTTCCAACCCTAATCTTCTATGATTCTATGAACATTATATTAGGACAGAGCTAGGGGTGGTCCCTAAGGGTATGCATACACTGTTGTTGGGAGTGTGTCTCGCAGCTCAGGTCGACAGACTCGCACTAGTGGGGCTCAGGTTAGCACACTAAAAATAACTGTGTAGACCTTGCTTTGACATTTGGACTCGGGCTGGAGCTCAGGCTCTGAAGCTCACCCCATTCCTTAGGCTTCAGAGTCCTAGCTCCAGCCCAAGCCGGAATGCCCACATTGCTATTTTCAGCACGGTAGCATGAGTCTGTCAACCCAGGCGGCGAGACTCACTCCCAATAGTTGTGTAGACATACCCTCTGGAGCTCATCAGCTGGCTTGCAGTTACTTCAGGTGTCCAGTCTGCTAGAGCTTACAAAAACCAGGACAAAACAGTTATCTGTAAGAATGACAAAGAAATTCTCTGAAAACAGTGACATATGGTTACCCTATTTATTTATACAATTTGAGATTGATGTGATTGAACAATATAATACAGAGTGGGATGTGAGAATGACAGGCAAGAGTCAGGGCAAGGGGACAAAAAGTTCCTCAAGCTTGGAAAAAAATATTAAGGGCAGGCTTGACCGTGTATTATTTAAAATTCATGAAAACTAGCACTGACAAGAAATTGCATTTTTACTTTTTTAATTGAGCTTTGCAAAGTCATTCAGTGAAAACGCTCAAGATTCCTGACATCATAATAATAATCAAAACAGGCAAGACTCTGATTAAAGCAAATGGGAATATTTAACAAGGTATTTGTAAAGACAAAAATCAGGTCTGAGTCAGAAAATCTTTAAAAGTTTCCTACACCCTAATATCTCACAATTTAATAAGGAATCTAAATTCCAACATGTTGATATAAATCACTAACAACACCCTTTCCCTGTTGACTTGTCTGTTGGTACAAAGCATACACTGGCACTGTGTAATGTACAAAATATGTGATTGCATTATTTAGTCCCCACCCAATAAAAATATGTTCAAGGCTCTGGTAAACCTATCTGATTCTGTAATAACTCATAAAATACCCTTTAAAAATTCTGCCAACACATTAAACAGAGATATCTGAATTATTCCAAAGACATTCAGTGTAAGTTATCATACAGGCATCACTAGTTAGCAATGAGTTTTGTTGCATTATTTAGGGTACCTAAATTGCTATAATCACACGAAAAGCAAGAACACAAGACAGTCTCTGATTAAAAACACACACACACACACACACACACACACACACACACACACCCCATGGCAACAGCTGACCATCTATTGCTCTTCATTTCATCCAGTACTTGAATAATAGTTTGACATTTTGACAAGTTTAACAAGCAATCAACTCTGGCAATGCTTCATCTGAGACAGCCCAGTTGTTTCTACAGAAAGGGATTGGGTTTATTTTCCAGTAAAGATTTTGATTTTTTTTTTTTAAAGGCAGTTAACCTTTGGAAGCTGAGCACCTCTTTAGGAAAATGAAATCAATTATGGCCCCAACAATCTCAACATGATTTTGGAAAGGCCTACCCTTCTTAATTTTATAGATCTTCCATGATGTCAGGGTAATGCTGATGTAGGTCTTCATAATATGATACCCTTTCCTTTCCTACATGCTTTGAGAAGCAGTGAAATAGTTAACAAAATGTTAACTCTTAGAGTAGCATTATTGTTATGTGTATAGAATAAATGGGGCAGTTCATTTCAGAACTGTTGTTTCAGGCTCTGAAACTGTTGTTTCAGGCTCCCAGTGGCTGTGGTTCACCGTTCCCGGCCAATGGGAGCTGCGGGAAGCAGAGGCCTACGGACAATCAACATCAGCAAAATGTCTCTCAGCCCGCAATCAGATTACCCCGATGGGCCGCATGCGGCCCGCGGGCCACAGGTTGCCCACCACTGTATTAAAGATTTAAATGCAATATAAGATTTTTCTGCTCTACTCTCCAGCTTAGTCAATCAGGAACACAGGAGTCAGTTATTGCGTACAGCTACATCTAAGTAGGTGTAGTTTCCAGCTCATTACCCATGCTAGCTTTGATTGAGCTAATACACTAAAAACAAAAATGTAGTTGCGGCAGCATGGGTGGTGGGATGGGCTAGTTGCCCAAGAAAGTACCTATGGTCCCCGGCGGAATTATACTCAGGCAGCTAGCCCAAGACGCAGCCCATGCTGCCACAGCTACACTCCTATTTTTAGCACCCTAGCTCCATCAAAGCTAATGTGCATACACTTACTCTGTTTCATTCCCAACAAGTGAAGAGGAATGCAAATAAATTTGAACAAGTGAACCTTTATTAAACCCTGTGGACTACTCTGTCCATGTAGCTGAGTTCCTCCCAGCCTAACTCCCTGGTGTTCCCTGTTCCATCCGTGTCTGTCAATAACCATCTCTCCAGGGAACACTGACCCTCTGACTACTTGACACACTTTCCCTCTGTCACAAACATTTTAACATAAACACTAAAAACAAATAATTGATGCCTAAGCCCCACCCCATGTCCCTTCAATGAGACGTTGCTAGCACATTGCTAAGTTGGTGTCTTGTCTTTACGACAGACTCAGCTGGTTATAGAGTCTTTGAGATAGCTTGGTCTCCTCAACAGACAACCACACTGGGAGAGGACTATCTCTGTCTTTGTCACCTGTCTCCGAGTCTGGCAAATTCTCTCTCTGAGGAGTCTCCGCCCTCCTTGTGGGATTGGCTTCGGGACGGTTCTCTGTCTCTCCATTCAGTGACGATCTCTGTATCTCTGCAGGCTCTCTCTGGGTGTTGTATCTGCTGACTTATAAGAGTCTTCTGTTCCTTCAGATCACTTGTCACTCCTGCATAGTTGCCTCATATGACCTGGGTGCCTCTGCAGTCCTCACAACTTCTTTAGTCCACTCCTTCTGGTGTCTCTCTAATGGTTAGATCTTCACAGGAGTGCCTGTCTCCAGGGCCAGTAGGTCCTTGGCTGATCTGTCATACTCTACTGCCTGCTTTCTTTGATTATTGGCCAACTACTCTCTGAGGTATCTCCATCCTTCTGTCTGCAATAGGTAGCAGGGTTTTGGTCCTTCATCCCATCAGTGCTTGCGCAGGACTTTTTTGGCCATCTCACCATTACTCTGGGGTATGCTAGGGAGGAGTTGTGGTGGTCAAACTCCCATATGAGCACAAACTCC